CCCCAAAACCCCAAAACCCCTTTATCATTTAAAAGCAGAGATATTTTAGATACATAATGTAATTGATTATAATTATAACTAATTTTTTAAAGATCTGATGAATAAGAAGAGCAAATAGGCTAGTTTAAACACATCTATGAATTAGAGTCAGCAATAATTATCAATGGAAATGGAGCTAGATGAATAGCTAAAACAAGGAAAGTTATCTTCAAAAAATCTCTTTTAAGATAAGAAAGATATGAAAGAAGGTAAAAAGGCTAGGACAAAAACTCTTGTAAAGCCTATAATAGAGAAACTTGAGTTTGAAAGTAATGAACACAAGAGAGACTAACTAGCAAGAAAAAAGAAAACTTAGGCAATCACAAAGATAAACATTCATTATACTCCTGCTAATCCAAAAGAAATTCTTGTACTCAATTCTAATTAACCTATCAAACCTAAGTCAAGGGTAAAAACTGAGTATTCAGCATAAGCCTTAAAGAAAGAATAAGAGTCCAAGATTAGATCCTAGTAATTTTCTAAAGAGCTAGATAAGATTCTTTCAAGTGATGCTTTTTTCAACAGAAGCAAAGTTCAAAAGTCTGAGCCTGTAAACTGTATCATTGAATTATCTTAGTTGAGTTATGCCAAAATGACACAAAAAACAAAGGAATTTATTAGTGCAAATTAAAACTCAAAGTTGAATTCATCAATTGAGTAATTAAGTGGTAGTAAGACCCCTAGAAAAGGTCAAAAATAAAAGAAAGATAGTACAGAGAATTTTCTCAAGAGTAAATGTAAGAAATCTAGCAGTCCCGTTCATAAATCAATTGATACCCTTAATTAAAAGCAAATAAAATCAAAGAGAGTTGAGGATACTCCTATTTCAAAGAGAAAGGCTAAGGAGGCAAAGAAAAAATAGTAGCAATCTCATTTTCAGCATCAATATCATACCCAGAAGTAATCTTAGTAAGATAATTCTATTGTATGTACAATCAGTGATGAAGTCAAAGTTTCAGCAGAAACCTATCAATCTCGTGGTCATGATTATGTAACTTTTGGTGAACCTAGCAGTTTAGACTAAGTAGATGTTTCTGTTGCTGAGCCCTAAGCAAAGTCTAGGAAGGCTAAGACTAAGAAAACTTTGAAGGTAAATTCTCAGCTGCTTGAAAATGATGTGATCAAAGAAATATCCTCAGAAAATTTATTCAATTAGCTGGCTAAATCAAATAATGAATTGAGCTCTTTCTCTCAAGAACTTATGAATGATTTTCACAGGATCATTTAGAATGGTCGAGAAGATTTTATAAACAGAAAAAGGGTATAGTAGAATGACAGTCCTTACAGAGTGATTGAGGAATAGAGCATTCAGCTTCCCAGAATTCTAAGCATTATCAGGATCTATTTCTCTTTAACTAAGAGGAGACTAAGAGTGAGAGTCTAAGTTGAGGATTCTAATAGTGAGATTGGCTATATTTTTACCAATATTGATCTAACTGAATTGAACAAAGAATCTCCAGTGCTCTTTGTTGAGTATATCTAGAGATTATTTAACAAGAAGTAGCAAGAAGATCAATCCAGCACTGCTTCATTCCAGAGTTGAATTTCTATGAGAGTTAAAAATAGTTAATGCAAGAATGACTTTGTTAATTTTATCTTAATTTCATAACTAAAGATGTTTTATAAATTCTGAATATTTATTCTTGACTATTCTTTAAATTAGCCTTTTTGATATCATTGGGGTTTTGGGGTTTTGGGGTTTTGGGG